CACAAACAGCACCCAGAGCAACACCACCGCTACCAACAGCAGCAGCAGCAGCAGCAGCAACAGCAGCAGCAGCAGCAGCAGCAGCAGCAGCAGCAGCATAGTATCGCATGCATTGTCTAGTTTGTTATCTGGTTCTTTGGCTGCAAGTATTAACCCTGACGTGTGGAGAGAAGGCCGAGTTTGGGGCTTTCTGCTGCTGGATGCATGCGCGCTGCTGTCGCTGGAGCAGCTGCAGGTGGCGCTGCTGCGGTGTCTCTGCTGCTGCAGCAGCAGCAGCAACAGCAACAGCAGCAGCAGCAGCAGCAGCTGCTGCAAGACAAAAAGTTTTTTCACTGAAGCTATTCTCGCTCTCTCGGGCGGCAGCAGCATTGCTGCTGCCATCAACAAACTCACGCTGCAGCAGAAGACGCAGCAGCTGCTGCTGGTATCCTTTACAGACGCAGCATACAGCTACTGCAGCAGCTGCTGCAGCAGCAGCAGCAGCAGCAACAGCAGCAGCAGCAGCAGCAGGAGGCCCCTTGTGCCTCTCAATGCCGGCTGTGCGCTGTTCTCTACGGGAGAAGGGAGAAACATAATCGACCAGCAGCAACAAGCAGCAGCAGCAGCAGCAGCAGCAACAGATGCAGCAGCAGCAGCAGCAGCAGCAGCAGATGAAGAGAGGAGACAGAAGCTTTTGCTGCTCGTCCTGCAGCAGATAAAGGGGGAGAACGTCCCGCTACAAAACGCTTTCTCCTACAGCAGCATAACCAGATCGCTGCAGCAGCAGCAGCAGCAGCAGCAGCAGCAGCAGCAGAAGCAGCAGCAGCAGCAGCAAGATGCGCTGCAGCAGCTGTATGGAGTCAGCGACGTTGAAGCACAGCTGCCTGGGGGGCTGCATGCTGCTGTCATCTCCCGTGTTGCTGCTCGCCATATCTAACCAGCAGCAGCAGCAGCAGCAGCAGAAGCAGCAGCAGCAGCAGCAGTAGAAGCATCAGCAGCAGCAGCAGCAGCTGCTGCTGCAGCAGTAGAAGCAGCAGCAGTAGCAGTAGCAGTAGAAGGAGCAACAACAGCAGCAGTAGAAGCAGCAGCAGCAGCAGTCGAAGCAGCTGCAGCAGCAGCAGCAGCAGCAGCACCAGCGTCTCTGTTGCGGAGCTGTGTATTGAGGTGTATATACACCGCAAGCAGAACAGCTGGAGGCGTTCCTTCTGTCTCCTCTTTCTTTTGCTGTATTTATTATTTATTTCTGTTTTATAATGAAACTAAATATAAATATTTTATTTTTATTTTTATTTTTATTTTTTTTATTTTTATTTTTATTTTTATTATTTAAACTAAGTAATTCATAGGTAATATAAATAAATACAAAAATAAAATAAATAGAAACAAACACAAACAAATACAAAATTAATATAAACAAAAGTAGATATAGACAAAGAGTATATAAACAAATAAAAAACTAAACTTATATAATATAAATACAAATAAAAAAAATAAAAAATAAATAAAATATAAACAAACAAAATATAAATAGATAAAGTACAAACGAAAAATATATAAATAAATAAAGAATAACAAACAAAATAAATAAAATAAATAAACCACCAAAAAAAAAAATATAAATATTTTTTTTTCTGTATATATCAACAAATTCATTTAAATTTCCCTTCGTTTTTATTTCTCTAAGACAAACAAATTTATTTTTATTCTTCTTCTTCCCGCCACTTGACAATGCAGCAGCAGCAGCAGCAGCAGCAGCAGCAGCAGCAGAGGGGCCTAGCGGCGCACACCCAGGGACTCCTCGAGGATATGAAATCCACGCAGCAGCAAATTTGCATCCATTCGTCTCTGAAAAAAAAAACAAAAAAAAAATAAAAAAAATAAATAAAAAAATAAATAAATAAAATAAATAAAATAAATAAAATAAATAAATAGATTGATTAGTTGATTAATTATGTAAATAAATAAATAAATAGACAATATTAAAATAAATAAAGAAAAAACGAAGCAAAAGAAAAAAACTAAAAAAGTTTGTATTATAAACAATAAAAATACAATAGCGTTATATATTCATATAAATTATATTTTATTTATATTATATTTATATATTCATTTTATTTATATTTTATTTATATTATATTTATATATTTATGTATTTATATTATACTTCTATTGATATTATATTTGTATATATATTTACATGCATATATATATATTATATTTATATTATATTATACTATCTTATATTATAATACAATTATACAAATAAGTATAATAATAAATATAATAACAACAACAATATATACAATTATATCACATACAATATATATATATATATATATATATATATATATATATATATATATATATATATATATATATA